TTGGATGGAAAATTCAGTGGAAATAAAATCCAATGAAAATAAATTTAATCTCATATTTTACATTCAACTCATCAAAAATCAGTGAAAATAAACTTTATACAAAACACCCAAAAAGTCTTTTCAGGAAAATTAATTCCATCTACAATAAAGTACCGGGGTACTAGTATTTTAAAGTAATGAAAGATGAAGATAAATAAGTCTGGTAGATTTCTTTTGTGGTCTTCAAAGTTACTTTCCCACTAAACAAATCTGCGGGGCATCATCCCCATAGAATGTAGACAAGAATATGAATTTGTCTTCTCAAATCATATTAGCTTTGTAAACAATAGATACAGAGAAGGACTCAATTGTCATTCAGATAATTGCTGGTATGTTTTTTCCAAAAATTGAATTCCCCAAGAGTCGCAAAATTAAATGTGAGTGCATGATGTCTACTTCTTATAACTTTTTTTGTGTGTATCACAGTCAACTTTAGTCTCCATCACACATCATTTTAAACAGATTTTTTTTATTTATTTTTTCATATTTGTATTCAAAACTTGTGGCTAATAGGGAATTATGTTTATTAGCCTCCATCCGGACAAAGTCCGGGAGGGGGCTTGTAGTTCCGCCTTTGTCAGTCGGTCGGTCGGTCGGTCGGTCAGTCAGAGTGATTCCATGGGCAGTTTTTTTTTTTTAAACTTGGTACAAAGACTTGGTGGTCAACCATACATGTGCATGTCAATTTATTTTCTGATTCGATTAAATATGGCCGACTGGTGGCTATTTTTAATGCCAAAATTCAGTCCTTTGTGTCCATCGTCTTTTCTCGGAGATGGCTTGACCGATTTTGTTGAGACTTGTTACAAAAATAAAGGAACCACCCATACAGATGCACGTTGTTTTACTTTTTTCAAATGATCAAATATGGCCGACTGGCAGCCATTTTGATTGTTAATCATGGCTTTTGTCTGTCCATTGATATTTCTCAGAGATGCCTTGACTTATTTCAATGTTACTAGATACAAAGGCACAGTGAGGAGGTATATTTCAATGATACTAGGTAGAAAGACACAGTGAGGAGGTATATATATTCACATGGATTTATTTCTCGATTTGATCAAATATGGCTGTCTGGTGGCCATTTTGAGATGCCTGGGCTGATTTTGCTGAGACTTGTTACAAAGACAGAGTGACCACTGGTACATTTTTTCAAGGAATCAATGAGTTCATTTGCATATTTAATTATTAATTTGAATTCTTGTTAATATGTTGTGAACTAATAGTCCAAATCAGACCAAACTTGGTAGACATTTGATTTGTCAATATAAGATGTATGCTATGCAATATTGAGTTTCAATTTAATTAACAAGCTTATTTGCATATTTGATGAATTTTGAATTTTTGTTGATATCTTGTGAACTAATGAGACCAAAGTTGGTATAGACTTACTTGATCTGTCGATATACGATATGTGCTATGCAATATTGACTTTCAACTTAATTAATGGGCTTATTTAATTAATTTTTGTTAATATCTTGTGAACTAATAATTCATGTATTTGCTATTTAATATTGAATCAATTGAATTTCCATTTTCAATTGATTGCGAATTTTTGTTAAAATTGATGCAAATTTTACAAAATTTAATAGAGATGTCCTAGCTTTTAACTTTGAGTAACATTCTTTTGATTTTCAACCCGATTTTATACATATACATTCAAACTTTATAATTCATAGCAAACTATAACCACATCTGGGAGCTGTGTCATCTTCAGGTGACTTGTTTATTCTAAAATTATTGAAAAAATCGTAAATTAAGAAAATTATGGTGTTCAAAGGGTTAAACATTTAGTGTTTTTAGCTTGTTCTAGAAATGATTTTTTTATGTTTCTCAAATTTGCATTGTTAAAATGCAACTTTAATATGTTATGAATTGTATGTGTAAAGATAATAAATACATATTCTGTGCGATCTAACTAAAGGAGGAGGGGTCAAAAATAGATCTAATTACTAGTGGATTCTATTTCTCCATATGCTGAATAGGGAAGGGATTCCATCATGTAAATGTTAATCAAGGCACGTGTATGGAGAACTGTCAATCTAGGGGATTGCATGGATTGCCATTGTTGTTTACACTATTAATCTTTAATCTGCTTTTTGTTATCCATTGTAATTTGAATCATGTGAAAAACTCCTTATTGATGCGGGGTAGCTCAGAGGTGGCTGGCATCCAGCCAACGCAGTTGCCGATTTCAAAAGTGTTACTCGCGTTAGCTTTCGGGTCATTATATGTTGTCGTCAGTGTGCTGTGCCAATGCGCTCTTCAATCCAAGCCTGTAATTGTGCTGGGCTTGGAAATGTGATCAGCACGCCCCACCCCCCTACCGAATTTCTGGATTCGCCAGTGTGATCGGATACTAGTACGTTGCCTTTCTGGGGAAAGTCGAACAAGATCGCGGTGCACTGTGACATTTAATATTGTGTGGCAGTACTATCCAAAAAAACGTATAGGGCTTGAGACCGGGGTTGCAATTGGCTGGTGCATGGTGTTAGGATTAGATAATTTAATAATTCAGCGGTCATATCTCGATCTCGCATGTGCCGTCTGTGTGTAGTCTGCTTGAGAGAAAGTGTTGCGTGCGCATGCGCATGCGTACGTGTTTGTGTCTCTATTACGCGAATATGGATATACTCCGAGTGCGTACAAGAATGTTGGGTCGAATGACGTATGTTCGATCTCGGAGCTAACGTATTCATACATGCTTCCACATTTTGTTTGCCATTGCCGTCTTTTCCTCAAGTTTCCTTAACTCAGACCACTCCAGATACACACAGAACGGAATACTACATATGCTAGACAGAAATCGACGCATCAAACCAAGACCAGAACGCTTCCAGTCCAGTAAAGACAAATTTGACATTGTCATCACTTGTGAAGAAAGGGTGTACGACCAAGTCGTTGAAGGTACACTTCTGTCGCTTGACAATTTCTCTGCCCACGGTCACTTTCTGAACATATATTTGCGTCCTCAACTACGTTCTTTCGATTTTGACGGAAAAGTTGTAGTTTCGATCGGCTGATTTAAATTATTTGATTTAACGTAATAACAAATTTGTATTAATAAAAACGTCTATAAAGTACGTGTAAATTCACTTTCCAAACGATTTCTAACATGTTTCGTCAAATTGTTTTTACTATATAATATTTGTATTAACATAAACGTCTATAAAGTACGTGTATCTTCACTTTCCGGTCGACTTCCAACATGTTTCGTCGAATTGTTTTTACTATATAATTTTGTTTGTTTCATATTTCGTGGTTACGTGAAATTCAGCCTTCCAGTATAACTTTCGATGCGTAGTATATTTAGCCACATTGCAAATGATCGATCTGAAGACTGCTGTGTCAATGAAATACTAATAGATCTTAAAAACGGCAATATCATAAAGTTAATCTATATCATATATAACAGCGTGTTTGGAAGGAATATGCGGGCCCAAATAGCGAGCACGAAGTACGAGATATCGCCTTTCTTGCTCGCTATTCTGGCCCGCATAGAACGAGCCCCTGTGGATTTATAACAAAAAGCTACTCGTTGCCGAAAAACTGAGATGAAACGACAATCTTTAATTCCAAGTTTCGCAATCCACTTCACTCCACTCCAGGCAGACACCGGCCATAATTGGATGACAAATAATTTGAACTAGGAAATACTTAGTATGTTCCTCAGAGCGCATTGGCTTGTTGAAAAATCAATGTTTATCAACACGAATATCGCATATTCGCGGCACGACGACGACTACCGCCCTTTAATTATTTATCTTGTTGTATTTCTCAGATTTTGAATCGAGAGAACAGGAAACTGGCCAATCAGTACACGTGTTGAACATTGACATCCAGGACAATCACGAAGAGGCTACACTTGGAGCCTTTCAGATTTTGAACTTTTGCTCATTGGTAAGTCGAAGAGGGAGCCCTCTAATGACCATTCTGGTCACTCTAATTGCGTTATATAGCCATTCTGTTTTTATTTCTTCTACCAAATTGTTACTCGAATTGAAACATCGAATTTACTGTATTCAAATAGTGTCTTGTATTTTCTCATCTCCTTCACAGATCCGTGAGTGCACAGACTTGGAGAATGATATTGACGAACTGCTACAAGATTTTGAACTCAAAGAAAATAGAGATATTTTACACACAGTTTGTTTTTATTGATTTATACTTTGGGCAAGGGACTTAATTTTCTGGGTTGTACAAGTAGTATATAATGTATTTTTGCAAATACTTGAGTGGTATTTGGTGTATGTAAATAAAATTCACATCTCTTCATTATAATTGAGTGTTTTTGTGCGCGTACACATGCAAGAGCCAAGGTGACATCATTGATTTGTGGTCAATTTTGAGCTGCAAAGGGGAATAGCTAGGAACTTCAAACTTGGAACACATGCTTTTCATGTAAGCCACAGGGCATGACAACTTTCAGGAACGAAAGGTCACAGTCACAACAAGTGTTTGTGAAATAATAGCCAGTGCTATTAACGTTTGCACACATATTTCCTGTGTGATTCACATGACCCTGCTACAATTTGAGGTCAAAGGTCAAGGCACAGTATGATTTTTTGCATATTAACTGCAATAGCCTGGGTCTTGAAACATGGCGTGTTCTGCATGCGACTACCGGGCAGGATCAAAGGTCATTTCCACAGTATTTGTATATCTATGTTCGGGATTGGGCTACAAGAGATAATGGCTAGGAACTTCGAACTTGCCACACATGTTCTATATGTAACCCACATAATATGGCATTTTAGGTACAAAGGGTCACAAATATGTTCATAAAGGGAAAGATTGGCTTTGTCTTTAAAACTGGGCCACACTTGTTCCTTTCCCCGATACTTACATTTAAGGTTAAAGGTCAAGATAACGGTATATACCGGTATGTGTGTAAGCCCTAAACTGTGGTTCTGGGGTTGACGAGAATGTCGAAGAATTAGAGTGCAGGGTGACATCTCCTGAGTGCTATCTAGTTTCTGTAACGTTGGGTGTGCATGTAACAACGTTTTCGTCAAAATTTGTATCAACTTGTATGTATTAGTCCCAGACATGCAGTGAAAGTACATAGTCTATTAAAGCACAATCACTGATTAAAGGCGAGGAACTGTCAATAGACAGACAACGACTACACTGGATATTTATCAACATTTTTTTTATGAAAGACTTCCTGGCTGGATGTAAAATCTTAGATACGCTCTCGTCACGATTACAGATTATTGAAATAATCATGATAGTTTAAATACCGACAGAACATCCATCTAACCAATATTGGATTACCGATCCGGTATGAGAAACACTCAATTCAACAGTAATTCCCCCACCAACAATATGTGCTTGTTATTCTAGATAACTTGTTTATTATTATCATTTTTAACGTAGTGGAAATAACTTGCCAAATTTAGCTACAATTTATGTTGTTAAATTATTAGACGAGAATGTTCGCCAAACCCGTGCAGTAAGTGATTCCGAATTCACGTTAATTTCCCTGTTAAATTAGAACAGTGGTACCTTACTAACTTCACCCGACGCATGTTAACTGTTTGTGTCAGGCTCTAAACACGAGTAACTGTGATTGAATTAAGCTGTGACACTAACTGAAACAAAATTGTCATTAAAGTCGATAAAACAACTTTCTGGTGCGATAGAGGGCACAGTTTTACGTTGGCGCCGTCCAGACGTTCAGTACATGCGGTTACGTAAATTCTTGTGATTTTAGTGTCAGCTTGGTTGCTTTTCAGCGACTTTTGTTGTTGTGAATTGATGTTAATTGAATCACATTTCTGGAAAACTATTTTAAAATGTACTGTTTTTTTTATTTCAAAAGTGACATATAATTTATGTTTTATTTGCTAACTCATTGGGTATTTATTAGTCTGGCAAAGTCGGGATTTGTTTTACAAAAAAATAAATAATTAATTGTCAATTTAGCTTTTTTAGCGTGATCGCAACTAGCGGTCACATTAGTTTTCGCGATCACACTGAAAGGACTTAAAACAATTGAATAATTATTACTTTTCGTGAAAAAAAAAAAAAAAATCCCGACTTTGCAAGTCTGGGTATTTCTCAATAGATTGGGAAAAGAACAAGTGTTGTATGGTGTTTCCTGCTGTTCATCTATTAGCTTACACGAATGAAATGGTAAATTATTTTACTAACGTGTTGTAACTATAACTGGATTTGATTTCGCGTTTATCGAAATAGTCAAATTTTGGAGATTATTTCGAATTCATGATGGTGAAACTCGATGGAATTCATTTTCAGGATTGGACACAGTAGTAAATGTGAATACGATATTAAAAATTAACTAAGATCTGTCTTTAATTATATTTTATGAGTAACGTACTGATCTACCCTAACTCGAAATTGAACATTCTCGTCCGCCAAAGTATTTATTTTTCATTACGCTCCAAAGATCCGAAATATACCAACGACTCTGAAGACCTGTATTAGGGAACTAAGAGTGACGTCATGAAAGCATATGATCCGATCAGCTGTGCTTTTAAAACACAGTTTAGAACACAGATCGTCTGAAATTCAAAAAGCGAAATGGAAAAATGTCGAATGAAAAAAAAATCTTCCCGAAAGACGAATAATCTGAAGAAGACAATTATGTGAGAAGTGTGTCTTCGCGATTGGAATGATTGCATGAATAGCGCCTCCAACGTTACTTACGGGATAAATGCACCTACCAGTACCTGGACGAAAATTACACTTATACTGCATTATCTTGTTTTTCGTTAGGAAAAACTAATAAAATCAAACTGATTTGCCTTGTGTTTTTCCGTAACTTTTTCGACTTTTTCAATAAACTTCTGTTTTTTGGAGATTATACTTGCTAGAAAAGTCGTAACTACGACTGAATATATACCATTTTAAAATAAGTAGTTATTTCCCCAAATCTGGCGATGGTGGCGCTGTAACAGAAGAAATGTCTTTACGTAGCCTTTTTTGTAGACT